CTTCCTTCCTGCCTGTAGGAAAGCCGGTGGGAGCTGTGGGGCAGGAGCTGCTTCCAGGCAGGAACAAGCAGTGAACTTACTGCTAAACACTGCTGTTTCTACAGAATTGGCTGTTTGTTTCCCTGGATGCTACAGAATTGCCCAGAGAACCACACTGGGGAAAAAAAATGCATGTTTGTTTAGGCCCATCTAACAACAGAGAAAGACTTGGAAACAGTGATGAGCACAGCCTAAATTTTTCAAAGCCATATGACATGGGGCTCAGATTTCCTGATAACTCATCAGGATTTGGGTTTCCAGGACAGGTGTTTGGCATGTCAGATTCCCACTCCCTTTGGGACACACCACGCTGAGCACAAAGCTCCCCACAGTCTCAATAGCTCAAGCAAAGACAGTTTTCATCTTGCTTTTCCCCTTGACCATCGTCGCAGGACTGAGCCCCTCATTGGGGCTTGTCGGAAGGCGCAGGGCTCCCAGTTTGCAGGCGCGGGGGCTCCCTCCTGCCCTGCTTCCCAGCAGTTTGTTTTAGCCCAGGATGCACCCGCTGGGATTACAGAGGCTGCAGACAAAGGTTAGAGGTGAGGCAAAGCAAACGACATTGCTTATTTATTTAGAGGCAGCCCGGACTGGGAGTGCTGGAGACTCTGCCACCCTCCCAAGAGAGAACCGCAGCTTTGCAGCACCTCTCTCCAACTTTTTTTTTTTTTTTTTTTTTTTTTTTAAAGAAATATAATATGGTGACAGATCCAAAATACCATTTCCCTGAGTAACTCCTAGAACCAAAACAGGAGGGAGTTTATCCTGCAAGGCGGCCAGCCACGGGAACAAAACAAACACCGCTCCATTGATCTCAGGCCCCATGTGGGAAAACAGCTAAAAAAAGAAAGACAACTTCGCTTACTTCAGCGCCCTTTCTTTCTATCTTTCTTTCTATTCACTCGACTTCTCTCCCAATATCCACATTTCCGTGCCCACAGGTCTTTTTTTCCTCGGGAGATAATCTTCTTATCCCTCTCTTCAGTAAAAAGCCCCAATTTTGCTTTCATTTAATCACAGGACAAACCCACCAACAGGCATCTGACGTGATCCTGCACGGACAGCCTGGCTTGCACCTTTTCTCTGTTTGCACCCAGTTTAATCATTACAACAGTAGCAAAGGGTGAGGAATATGCATCCCCTTTTGCACGAGGAAAAAGGTGCTTTTTCCCCAGGCCCTGTCTGCCACCCAGGACACCGAGCACTTCTCCTGCAATTGCTCCAGATTTATAACACAGAATGTGGTTATACAATAACAAAAAAAAAAAAAAAAAAAAAAAAAAAAAAAAAAAAAAAAAAAAAATCAATTTCAAAGTCCTGGTTGGAAAAGGTAAGCTTTCCCGGGCCGGCGMCTGCTCTCAGCCATACAGGCACTAATCTGGGGCGAATCTGCTGGCGTCAGGGAGTTTTCTCTAAACACACTCTGGGGTAAAACACAGAGGCGCAGGCGGGCGCCGGCAGCCCAGCCCCAGCGCTGCTACCAGAAGTGGCTGCTTACTTTCAAGCTCTCTGCACAGCCTGTAATCACCCAATATTGAAACCAGATTTACAGGCTCTTTAGAGGAGGAGAAGTTTGTGATTTCCAAAGCAGACACACTTGGTATTTCAGAAAAAGGTCAACCCCCCTATGGAGTAAGGAAGTTTTAATAGAATCAGTTCAGCAGGAGTTAAGAGGAGACATACCAGCCCAACAGTTCTCCAGACCGGGGCAAGCRGAGACACAGGGAAAGCCACAGCCATTATTGTTGGGAGAAAAGAACCAGGCAAAGAGAGAGGCACAGAGGAAGCTAAATTACATCTTGGCCATTTGATTTCATTTATTCCAACAGGGGAGACTTTTTTCAGTTTAGAAACGGAGAGGGTTGTCCTTGCACTCCAGGGTTTACAGCAGTTTCAAAGACAGGAGGGTTTGTTATTGTCTGCAGGAGAAACCTGAGAGTGCGCAGCAGCACAATGACAAATCCAGGCTCCTCCGTGCAATACATTTTAAAGGATAGCCATCAGTCACGGCCTCACCTCGGCAGCCTCCGGCCAGGCTGCAGCCGGGAATGCTGCCCGCTCTCCATGGCTCCCACGGCACCAGCACCAGGGAAGCCTGCRGACCAGCGCTAACCTCCCTCCTTCTTCCAGGAGGATGGATTAAAATSAGACAGTAACACAAAGCTTGTGCTGCTGAGATCTGCAGATATAATAAGCAGCCTCTACAGCAATACTTACTAGCAGTAAATACTATATTCTSTAAAGGAAGGGTCTGCAAAATTGCCAAGTAATTTTGGTAAAGAGGGTTTTTTTTTTTTTTTTTCCTCCCCCCTGCAGCCTGTTTGAAGTCAAAAACACTGCAGAAGTGATTTTTTTTTTCCTGAAATATTTTCTTCCATTGGGCTGAGGAAGCCAAAGCAGAAGCAAAAGCAGCACAGACCAAACGAGCAGCACATGGCTTGGACAAAGCATGACTCTTMCCCCCATCCCAACACCCTTACACTGCTTTCCCAGTTAGAGGCTCTCAGCTTGTACCAGCAAACGTGAGATCGCTGGTAGCTCATTTCAAACGTGCACTTAACACCAGGAACACAAGAAAGTGCCACTCAAGAGGTCCTATCTTGTCCCAGTCATGCACCTGTGTATGAGGCACTGATGAAGGAACAGAGGAGGATGTTGTCTCTGTTTGCCCCACRCTGTCTAGGCTCCAGAGAGATGCCTCTTGCTTCCTCACCCTTGGGTTCCTGAAGCCTAGTAAAGCTTCACTAAGAAAACATGGAGCTAATTCCACCACTCCCATAGCTAAGACCAGACACCAGCGCTTACAGCTTAGTTTCTCAAATACATAGGCTTTAAAATTAATCGGAAGCCTAATGTCACCCTAAAGAGAGCCAGTGCACGCTGCAGGCGCTTGCAGGCCACATRGGCTGCCACCCTGAGCTGCACCCAGCAGCCCTGCTAATAGGGCAGAGGCAGCCGTGAACCCCAGAGGCTCTGCAGCCCTGCTCTGAAGACTGCAGAGGAAGGCAAACATCTCTTTTCTTCTTTAAAACATCTCCACAGCAAGGGGCCAATTAAGAGTAGCCTGGTCTTATTAGCCTTTCAAAGGCAAGTATAAATAGGCCCTTATATATTCAAACCAGCAGCAAATGAGTAGGGGAGGTCACAGGATGTTTCCATGGCCATGCAATGTGCTCCTTCCTCCTCCYGGGCTCTGCAGAGAGAAAACTCAAGAAAGTTTAGTTATGGCATCTTCCAATTTGTCTAGTGAGAACTATTCCTACAGCTCAGTTTGCAGCAGATGCGATTCCAAATTTCTTTTCAAAAGCAAGTTCTTAGCCAGTCCTCCCCAAAAAAGAATCTATTTGGTAAAGCAGGTAACAACTTCAGCCTTTAGTTGGTATCAGCACACATATGCACCAAAAATAAATAAATAAATAAATAAATTTAAAAAGACAAACCATTTATAGGAAAGCAGCAGTTTGAGAGGTCAGCCAGAAGATCATGGGCCAGGTGCCTACCACAGTTAAATCCACATCATCTCTTAAACAGTAGCAGCAGAAAAAGGTAAATATTGGAAAATGTAACTCGGGGCATTGAAAGCAACTCTTCAGGCACGTAGAGGAAATAAGGAAAGTCAGCAGCTTGAGGCACAGAGATCAAACTAATTCTCCTAAGCTACACTTTAAAGCTGCACACACAGGCATGGTAGAACCTTGGCTCTCATCGAGCTCTGCCTCTATGAGGGTTTAACTGTAGGGATGAGCTTGCAGCACCCACACATCTGTGGTGTTACCCCCCAGCCAAGGGATCGATTCATTTCCAACAAGTCTACCACAGCGCTTGGGGTAGAATTCGGGTACTTTCAGGAACAAAGTTGTGACCTACAGTGGCASATTTCCATGGTTTTCGTAGATATAAAAACTGTGTCATCCCCTTCCTCACTGAAGGAATAAGCACTAGAGCGTATCAGAAGCATTTCTAAAGCAATTTAAACATAAATTGTAGCTTCCAACCTATTTTTCAACTCCAGCATCAGCATTTTCGGTCCTTCTAACATGACGTTAGTCTGCCTTTTAAGCAAGTTCTACTYTAATTACTACAAGAAAGTCCAGCAGAGCAAGAGATACAAATACTGTAAAGCCTCTGGGAGGCTACAGAGGTTTTGTTTGTTTTTAGCAGCTAGGCATCACACAAATGAAGTGATCAAGGGAAGCCAAATAGCTGAAGGAGGATAAGGAACAACAAAACGCACAGAAGCAGCTGGGAAGAAGAGGCACCTATGGAAGACAAGTGTAAAGGAGGAGCCAGAGATTAAAGGGAGAACGTTGTTGACTCTTCAGCCCAACAGTCCCACACAAAAGCAGCAACAGGTAATACCAAGTTACCCTATGAAAGGGCAAGGCAGTTTTCCCTCCTGCCCAGAGGGATTATCAGCAACAGTAACATACACAGCGGAGTTGTCCTCAGGTCTTCTGGGATTCCTCCCATCCCCTAATCAAAGCTGAGAGTAAAAGGTTCAAAAGAAAAAGAGATTACAGGAAAAACTGTGAGAGGAGTGAGGAAAACCAGCTATGCAGAATTAGGACATTTTCTGACATGGTGGTTTGCACAGAGAGAAGTGGCACTTCATGAACAGAGACAGGAAGAGATAAGCATCAGGCACAGCCTGAATTAATTCTTAGGCAGCTAAAAGGAAAATGGAACAAACAAGAAGTAAGGACATAGCCTCACTGCTACTTTAAATACTAAGCAGCAAAGCTGCCACCCTTTTTCAACAATAACCATGTAATTTCCCTCACTGAGTAGGSAAATAAACTATTTTTTCAGAATCTAGACACTATGCATAGCTTCAATACTACCACCTTGATCTGTCCCCAGCAGCCCYATCCAAACAACAAAAAATTGCTTTCTAAAACAAAAAGCCACAAACAAGTTTCAGACAAAATATATATATATTTTAAAAAAATTTTTACAATAAGTCAGGAAACATAGGAGCTTGCATACAGTTTATTATAATAAGTCAATTCTCAGCTCCCTACAGTTCAGATAACCCTGGTGACAGTGTTTACAACTTCTAATTTTTGCTTTCATAACTTTAAAGCAAACAATACATTTGAGTGTATTTTACTCTGTGCAAAAAAGACAACTTTTGGAATCCTTCAGAAGAAATATCCAAGATTCTGTTTGCTGAGGTCCTTTGTTTCTCGAAGATGATTTATGAGAGTTTGTTTTTCAGATAAAGTGCTCCTGTCCAGCAGAACCCAAAGGCCTTCAAGAGTTCAGAGAGTTATGTTTAGCCCAGATTAAAAAATAATTGGTCATACAAATTCCAGCTTCCCGTGTCCGCTGTACATTCCCCAGTGGACTAGAGAAAGAATTTTGTCATTGCTGAGGTCCGAATGTCTCATTTTATCACAGGTCATGCAGCAGTTCTCGTGACCGGTGACGGGCACCATGCATTCCAGGTCCAGTTTTGCCACCTGCCCTTTTTTTGAATGATGTCCATGAAAACTGTAGTGCAAACGGGAGAGCATTTGCTGCCGTTGATCCTGCAGTCTCTTATTTTCACTCCTGAGCATCCGCAAGGCCAGCATGATAAGGAGCACCAAGATGAGCCCACCAGCTATAGGAACAGCTATTACAGCTGCCCTGAACCACAATTCTTTTGAAGAGGTCAGTTCCTGCACCTTGGCGATGAGATTCCTGCTGTTGTCATGTTGATATCTGCTCCCTTGTCCTGCAAAAGGCAGAAGACACGAAGCTTATTCCAATTGCCACAACTGATTTATATTTAAACAACCTCTTAAACCCCACTCTGACAGGGGTTAAGGAGCCACAGCTACACAATCTGTCATTTCCACAGAAATTTCTCCTATAAATGGAGAGACTCGGCTCTAAGCGTGTTTTATGATACGGAATTTATTACTCCACTAGCTCATCTAACTGCAAATGCCACTGCCATTGCTTCTTAAAAGCAACATCAGGCCGGCAAGACATACCCCCGTTAGTAACACAGACCTAAAAGCTGCTCCAGGCTGCCGCCCGCCTCTCCCACCAGCGTCTCCAGTTACACCAGCAACAAACCCAAGAGCAGGCGCCCGAGGTGCCGGCGCTGGCGGCCCTACCTGCAGCCTCGCCCTTGGCGGGCGCCAGGACCTCGTGCAGGCGCCGGTAATTGCACATGTCCTCGTGGCAGCAGTGCAGCGCAGCAGCGGCGCCGGTGCTGCCCGAGCGGTTGCGGGGCGCCCCGCAGGGCTCCGCGCCGCCCGCCGCCTCCACGCAGCCGTGCGCCAGCGGCGAGTGCGGGTTCTGCGGCGCCAGCAGSCGCGAGAAGCAGGCGCCCACCTCCGACTTGCACATGTAGCCCGTGGCCACGCAGTGGGCGGCGTCGCAGTAGCATCTGATTTCACCTAGAAAGACAAAGAAACRGCGCAAAAGGTAAGAATTCGATCCCTTAAAGTCACTCACTAGCTATTCCACTCATTAGCTGCGGTCAYTGCAAAAAGGAATCAAACTTAGCAGCAGCTTTGGGTTATTCCCCACGGGTCGAGGATCCCAGGGATCCCCAGGATCGCCTCCTTTCTAGCACTGTACAGCACCTACCTCCTTGGAACCTTAATCCCAGCAAACGCCTTGGGGCAGCTCCTATAATTACCAGGACTATGGTGCTTTCAATTAAAGCAAGAACATTGCACTAAGCCAGAGGAAGGTCACTCTGTCTTTTTTTCCTGCAGTCCAAAGAGCTAACAAGATTGTTTTATAGCTATTTCCACTCACTGTCAGCAGTTAAACCACATCTGAAGTGAAATCTCACTTTTTTCTTTTAAGAAATACATACCTTTAAACCTATGGTAAAGTCACATCTACATTTTAAGCGACTACTATAGATTTTTATAAAGACAGCCTTGCACACTTTAACAGGGCAGAAGCACACAACAAAACTTCTATTTTTTCGCTATGTCACACAAATATTTAATCAGAACTGCAGAATTGTTTATTACCTCTCAAAACTGTGCCAAGATTTAAGAGGTTTAACTAACACCTTATAAAGCTATTACCTGGAACTATTACCATCTAAAAATCTCCCCATCAGGAAGGATTTTACTGTGTGAAACTAGGCAACTATTTATGATTTCTTCAGAAAAAAGCTTGGTTTTTTTGGATTTTTTTTCTGTTTGTTTTTTAAAAGCAACTTTTTAGGTAGTATTGTAACACAAACTGCAAACAAATTAATTGTCAATTGCAAAGTAAGTGCCTTCCAGTCCAAATGTAAAGGTACTAAACGGGGTGAAACTGAGAGTATAAAAGTTGCTCTCTGCCCCTGCTCCAATTCTGCCTGCAATCCAACATGCGGTCAAAAGGGGAAACACTTAGACTGAAAATCCTCTACCGGTTGTACGAAAAATCTCTCAGGAAACCTCAAAAATTTCTGAAGGAAGCGATAAAAAAAGTCCCCTTCATAAAACTCTTCATTTTGTGCTCTCCAAACCGCTCTGGTAGGAATTATGCACGTCCTGTGCTGTGGGGAGAACTTGCTCTTTCTAGGCAAACTGGATCTCAACATAGAGCAACTCCGGGGTTAGGAGGAAGCCAGGATTTTGGAGCCCTCGTCAGGAGCAGACAACTCCCCTAATGTATTTGGTGTCCTGGAGATCACAAGAGCACCGAGGCTTTAAGAGCCGATGGAGCTGTCACATCTCGTCCTTTTACAACCCGCTCTCCAAAACGGATCTGCAGGATTCCCCTGTAGCCACCCCATTTGGGGGCTCTCCCCCCGCCAAAGGCATTCCAAAGGCATTCCTAGAAGGTATTCCAAAAGATGAAAAGCCACCTCTGCCAGGTTGCCCTGTACCTCAGCCTCCCCAAAATGCTGCTGGCGGGCTCCAGGCCCGAACTTCCCACTGCTCTTTAACTGCTCCGCTTAACAGAGGCCAAATGATGGAGTGTCTGTCTCCGACTGCGTTAATTCCCCTGGGCTTTCCAAGGAGCCCATTTTTCCAGGATTCGCAGGCATTCCCATYCAGCGGGCTCTGGAAAAGCCTCTTCCCCTCGGTGCTCCACTCGATCAGGCCGGGAGCTCAAGGCTCCCAAGCGGGCTCTCCAAAGCGCGTGCGGGGCAGAACAAGGTGCGGAGGGAAACACCTCCCAGTGACAGCTCGTTCAGGAGCCTAAGCGCAGCACGGGCGGAAAGGGCCGCAAAAGGCACGCTTCTTTTTTAACTATTTCTACAAGCCTGCCTAAAATTCCACGTTTTATTGACCTAAGACAGTCTTCCAAACAAGAGCTGACAGGCTCGTCTGGGGGTTATTGCAACTGCTTTTTTAATTAAAGCCACGTTTTTTGGGGGGGAGGAGAGGGAACAGAACGGACCCTGTATTTCTGCACTAAAACCGCATTTCTGTCAATTCACAGAGTCTCCTCCCGCGCTGCAGAGGGCAGCGAGCGTTTCGCCGCCGCGAACAATGCCCTTCTGTTCCCTCCTCTTTCTTGTTACCGCACGCAGCCCGGGAAGAAAAGCGCCCGTTTTTCGTCAAGATGGCTCCGGGAGCGGCTCTCCCCGCGGGAGCCTCTGGAGCGGGCAGCCCCGCGCCCCGCCGCTGCCCGGCCCCGCTCCCGGCGGCGCCTCCGCCTCACCTCGCGTGAGCAGCACGGCCATGGCGCACAGCTCCAGCTGCAGCCAGACGAAGATGTAGCTGGAGTGGCGATCCATCGACCCGCCCGCCGCGGCGCGCGGCCCCCGCGCCGCTCCGCTCCGGC